CTATCTATCTATCTATCTATCTATCTATCTATCTATCTATCTATCTAGATATATAGATATATGAGTAATTCATTGAGAGCTCTTTAGCTGTAAAGACAAAACTAAAGTAACAGTAAATGACCCTTATGCCCAGAGGATGTGTAAAATAGCAACAAACAGTTTCACCAGAGCAATTTACATCTTGGGTAAATTATTTCAGTGTCATGTTCGGCTCCTGTCTGCTCCTCGTCTACCTGTACTGTAATATGCAGGCAGATGAAATTACCTCTAAAGCCCTCTTCTCTGACCTTCTCAGTGAACCCTGTTTTTACAGCTTGCCATAATTAATATCACTAAAAAGCATCTGTTTCCATTGTTGCCTGCAACCCTGTCAACATGTGCTGTGCTCAGCCAACAGATGGTACGGGAGCAGTATGTCAGCGCCACCGAGGGCAGCAGCTCGGCCGGGCCGCTGCCTGACTACATCTACAAGATCGGCATCTACGGCTGGAGGAAACGGTTTCTTTATCTGTTTGTGCTGCTGCTCATCGTCATCCTGGTGGTTAACTTCGCCCTCACCATCTGGATCCTCCGGGTGATGTGGTTCAACACGGTGTGCTGATTTCATGTGCTCTTGAGTTATATTGTTCTAAGTTATCATTTTAATCAGATCTTTGGAAGTGTGGCTGTGTGAACAGATTATGATCAAACAATCGCTCCCCTGTTTATTTACCTGTTTTACATCATTAATTTATTTGCATCAGACTCTTGTTCTTGGCCACTATCAACAGCAGCAGTTAGCTGTGGCATTTCCTGTACTGTTCGTCATCATACATGTTTGGGTTAGACACCTCGTGCAAGCAGACAAAATGCTACCATTCTGCCAATTTAATTTAATTTAATTTAATTTTAATTACCAGTAGTTGAGTATGAACTAAAAGCTGAAAGTAGTAGAAGAGCAGCTTAAGCTAAAAGTTGAAAAACTAAAGCTAAAAATAAAAGGTTGAAGAACTGTAGCCAAAAAATTGAAATGATTAAAAGAGTAGCTAAAAGCTAAATGTAGCATGTTAAGACAAAGGCAGTGAGAATGCTTAAGCAGATTTCAAAGGGAACAATGTTTTTGAAGGAATTAAAGAGATTTTAACAAACTTTTAAAAACTTTATTTTAAACCGTTAAATCCTGTGAAAACTGTAAAAGTAAAAACAAACGATACCAAAATGTTCGCTGTTCCTAATCAAGCTGAACGTTTTACAGTAATTTACAATCTGACTGGTTAAAACAGCTCAAAGTATGTGGAAATAGACTGGAGTCCAAAAAACACAAAGAGCAGAAGAAACCATAAAAAAGAAAAAAAAATAGTGAATGCTGACTCAGCGTTTAGTCAAATAAACAGCTGACAGCAGCAAAATGCAACGAAACAAGATTGGAGCAAAACAACTGAGAACCAGGAAGTGAAGTAATGAAAAACAGCTCAGGCATACAATAGGAACTAAATATGAGATTTAAAAAAATGCAAAGAAACCAAAGGCTATAAAGTTTACTGCTGACCTGGACATCTGTGTCCTCAGGTGAACCCTGCAGGTTCTCAAAATATAGATGTAATGCTCTAAAATTACTGAACTGAGAAGTGGAGACACCCACGACAACCCTGTGATTAAAATGTGTCGCACAAATGTTTTTTGAACATACTATTTTCAGCCCTAGCTGATTAGAATAAATAAGCCATAACTTCTTTATGCTCCTTTCAGCTTTGCTCTGCTATTTCAGCTACTATTTGATGTTTTTAGCTTTTTCAGCTAATTCCATATTAGCTCATTTCAGCTCTTTCCACTTTCTTCTGGAAGTTCAAGCTTCTTTCTGCATTTTCAACCACTTTTCAGCTATTTTTTGCTAATTTCAGCCTTTTTTTAGCTGATTTCCTAATTTTTGTGCTCATATTTGCTTATTTAAACCTAAGGCAGTAAATATGTGTTCTTTCTGCTTTCTTCTGCTAATTTGGGCTTGTTCTTCCATTTAAACTACATTTCAGCATGTTTTTAGCTAATTTCAGCTGTTTTTCAGCAAGTTCTTCAGCAATATGCATTTGCACTGCATTTTCGCAGGAAATGCAATTTCTCTAGTTATTAATAGGTGGAGCATCAGTGTTCTGTATGTTTAGCTTCTTTCAGGACATCTTGTCAGTATTCTGTATCCAATCCAGGCAGTAGCTCTGGATTTATGCTAAACAGCAAAAAACGTGTCTAGGACAAGGTGTGAGAGCTCTTTTTTTATTCCGTCTCTCCTCATGTTTTCTTCCCTTTTCTCATCTAAGCCAAAATATTATTCTGAGCAAGAATAAGAAGGCCGTGCTTTTTATAGTAGCAGCTTCGTGCACTCCGTCCATCTTTCGGACGACTGTTCGGTGCAACGATAATAAAGCTTATTCTGATTCTGAAATAGGCCTGTCACGATAAACAATAAATCAATTAATCGCATGATAAATGAAAATGATCAACCTCATTTTCATTTATCAGCTTTATCGTTTCTTCGTGTCTCTCTCTTTCTACTGAAGACACTGGATGACAAAAAGCTCAACTCTGGTGCTCTTCACTGACCCCTCCCTTTCTCTTTTCTCTTTAAAATCTGTTTAACCGTCAAAAATTGTGTTTTGGGATCGTTAAAAGTAGCTAAACTGAGAAGCTAAGCTATGAGCTAAGCTAACAGACCGACCTTGAGAAAAAAACTCTGTCTTGCCGAAGATCCAAAATTCATAAACCCGTACCTTTGTGTAAAAAGTTTTTTTTCTCTGAAAAAAGAAGCTGAGAACTTGTTTACTAATTTTTTATTAAAAGCTTTGTGTGAAAAATGCTATACTAAAGAGCTCAAACCACACCGAGCATCCGCCGTTTTTGGAACCAAAGAGAGACAGCCCATGACATGTCAAGGGGCCTCCCTCCCATTTTTCTTAAAGTGACACACTGCTCGCTCCCTCACTGTCCTTCCTTCGGTTCAAAGAGTCTAATACTGCCATCTGGTGATCAAATAAATGTACTACACTCAAAACAAATTAAACAACATTTATTTTAAAATTTGGCAATAATTACTAATTATTGTCAAATTTCAAACATTATCATTTATTGTAATAATTCCTGAGAAAATTAATCGCCCAGTAAAATTTGTTATCGCGACAGGCCTGATGCTAAATGAGTGATGCAACAACCTAACACAACTATTTTACTGCACCACATGCACTATGGAAGTGTGGTTATTAAGTTTAAATGATTCTGAATGAACTTTTTTTTTTATCCACATGTAATTTAAATCATGACCCTTGTTGTAGGACGGGATGGGACTCCTACAAGTTCACTCTAAAGGGGTCAAGCTGGAAGAAGGCGAGTCAGAGTTTCTGTTTCCACTCTACGCTCAGGGGATTCACTCCAGAGAAGTAAGCTCCTCTGAAACACAAACTTTTGTTCTCTTCCTACATATCTCTAATTGTACTTGTTGTTTTTTCTGTTTGAGCGACATGTCAGAATAAACTGGACTTGGCAGACCTGCACAGCCAACATGAGGAAGCGCTCAGCTTCCTATTAACCTCAGGGATATTTGTAGTGGGAAGTGGTTTATGGCCTGGCTGCTCGCAGCAGATGGGAACACTTTGCAGTCGTTGTTTACATGTTGTGGCTTTTCTCTCTCACAGCAGCAAATTTCTAAAGCATTTTTGTTTAAACTTATGGGCCTCATTAAATGTGTATAGTCCAATTACAGATGGATATACATATTCTATAATGGAAGTATTTTGAATGAGAAGCAGTGTTTAGTTTGAAAAGTGTGCAGCTTTATAAACACTGTGGCTGCAAAGAAACTAAAGAGATTTAATGGTGCTCTGAGCTTTTTCAACAGATTTTAAAAGCTTATGTTTTCTGTCTGTTGCGACCTGTTTTAAATATTTGTGTAAAATAAAGCAAACTGGTGTCACAGTGGATCAGTTGGTAGAGTTGCTGCCTCTCAGTAAGAAGGCCACCGGTTCAAATCCCATCTGGGGACCTTTCTGGGTGGAGTTTGCATGTTTTCTCCATGCATGCGTGGATTTTCTCCAGGTTCTCTGGTTTCTTCCCACAGACCTAAATCATGCATGTTGGGCTGAGTGGTAACTAAATTGTCTCTAAGTGTGAGTGAGAGAGTGAATAGTTGTTTGTCTCATTTGTCTTTATGTGGCCCTGTGATGGACTGGAGACCTGTCCAGGGTGTCCCGCGCCTCTCACACAGTGACTGCTGGACATGGGCACCAGTGACCCAGAAAGAAGAGTGGGTAAAGATAATGGATGGATGAAAACACGTTCAATAAGACAGTGTTTGTGGGGTGATTTCCTGATGCTTCTGATTTGTTGTTGTCTGGATATTTAAAAAAAAAAAAAACTTTAGTGGTAGTCTGCAGCTGTACATTTTAATTAGTTTATTAAATAATACAAGACAAACTTCTGGTTCAACTGTAAAACAATAATTTTTCTCCCACTTGATATAT